CAGCCCCGCGGCCCCGTGGGGCGACTCAATGGCCCCCGCCCCGCCCCGGACGCCGGCCCCACGGAGGAATGCGCTGCGGCGCGCCCTGCCCGCGGTGACTCACTGCCGGGGAGCCGCGGGAAGCGCCCGAGGCCGGGGAGCAGGTGTTCTGAACTTCAGTTTTCTCTTCTGTAAAATGGGGGAAGGTGACACTTGTTGGATTAGGCAACGCACGGAAAATGCTAGAACAGCTCCCCTTAGTGTTCAGTAAGTGTGAGGGCCGCTCCCAGCTCCCTTCCCGGGGGCCTGTCCCGCTCCCTGGGCCCTCCTGGCGGCTGTACGTGGGGGTAGGGAGGACGCACCGGCGGACCCGCCAGAGGTACTGGGAGCCGAGGGGGCGCGGAGCGCTCTGGTGCGTGGTGGGCAGAGGGGCCCTCGGCCTGGGCCGGGCCGGAGGCGGCTGAGTCATGCCCTGCCAGCAGGACAAGTCTTTTTATTTACCCTCTTCCTTTAAAGGGTTTAGCGGGAAGTGATCTCTGGCTCCTCCAGTGTTCCCGGGGGGCGGGGGGGGGGGGGGCGGCAGAAGGGAATCTACGGGGGCCCCAGCCGCTCCGGGGCCAGCACCTTCCAACACCCCGCCGGGCTGTGAGCTGGGCAGGTGGTGCAAAGCAAGGGGAGCAAGGAGGGCACGAGTCCGTTGGGCCTGTGAGAGCCACGCCCCCTCCTGGTGCAAGGTGGAAGCGCAGGTACCCTGGTTCAAAAGGTATTAATGATATTTTCAGGACTGTGAAGGCAGAGCATAAAGCCAATGTGGGACCTTCTGGGTGCAGGCCCGGCCGGCCGGCCGTGGAGCCAACCCTGCCCCACCTGCCCCCGCTCTGCGGCCTTGGGCAAGTCCCAACCCTGGCCCTTCAGGGTCACCGTGAGGAATAAGGTGCACCGCTGGCTCAGATGAGTGGCTTGGGCCGGGCCTGTGCGGATGGACACACCCACCTGTGCGTCCAGGGCACCTGTCAGGGGTGTGGCAGAGGGCAGGGGGTGCCCAGGACTCTGGCCTGCGGGAGGGAGCACAGGACAAGCACAGGGATGCTGGTCAGTGTTGGGGGGAGGGGCGGAGCTGGAATCGGCAGGCCCGTGGGGTGGCAGGCCAGAGGGTGAAGGGAGCACAGGCTGGGTGGGTGGGGAGACAGATATCCCCTCAAGACAACACAGGGCAGACTTATAAGGGGGTGAGCTCCCCATCACTACCGGCATCCCAGCAGAGCTGGTAAAGGGGATTCCAGCGTCAGGCAGGGTGAGACTGCTAACCTGCCTTCCCGCAGGCTCTCTGTCCTGAGGGGGCCCTGGGCTGCCGGGGCCACGGGAGAGGCAGGCCAGGGGCCAGGCTGCTGCCTCTAGGAAGCCACTGTGAGCCCCCTGGGTGTCCAGCACTCTGCCGGGACTCCTCCGAGGCCCACCAGCCCGTTTCCCCCACCCGGGGGCCAGTCATTGGAACCTCAGGGCCAGGCAAACCACAGACACTCGGCACTGCTTAAGCATCTACTGTGTGCCTGTAGGCCTGGCAGGTGCTAGGACCCCGAGGGGAGGGAAGAGGGGAGAAGCCCTGCCTGCCCTGGGGAGTACGGGGTTGGGGGTGGGCAAGAGGACAGCTCGGAGGTCTCCATGGGGAGGGCGGGGTGCCACAGGGGGATTCCCAAGGAGCCCAGGTGAGCGAGGCCCAAGGTGGGCATTCTTCCAGCCCCATTTCACAGACGTGGTAGCGGAGGCCCCAGGGAGGGCGGGGCAAGAGAGACAGGAAGGGATGTGAGAGGCCTTGAAAACCAGGTGAGGCCAGGTGAGCTGCACTTTGCCATGCCCACCCAGCGCTCCTCTCTTTGTCCCCAACGGCCAGGCCTTTCTGGGGAGAGTCAGTCGGTAACCAATGACCTGGGGGTGGGTGGTCTGACAGGTGGGCGTCCGCGGGAGCTGGGAAAAAAGGTCACAGCGGGTGGGGAGCCCACTGCCACTCTCCCCGGAGGATGGGGATGGGCTGGTGGAAATCCCCCCCAGGCAGCTTCACCACCAACGGCCCCTGCCCCGGGGGGCCTGGAAACCCCTCCAGCCAGAGGCCCGTGGGCCGCCTGCAGCTGCCTGGCCAAACCAGCAGGAACCCAGAGCAAGGAGGGGACCCTGTCCCCATGCCTGAAGCAGGCCCGTCTGAGGGTCCCTCTGGAACATGAGGAGGAAGCAAAGCACTGACCTTGCAACCCCAGCGAGGGTCTCTCGGGGAGACACCCCTGAGCCATTTTGATAGCTAGGAGCCCAGAGGACCCACCAGGCTGGCTTCCTGCAGGGGACCGAGGCCCCCGGTGCGGATGCGGGCTGCGGCCCATCAGGGCGCCAGGCCAGGTTGGTGCTGGGGAGGGAGGAGCCCCAGCCTGAGGGTCAGGGGCCTGGCACCCTCGGGGAGGCCCGTGTGGGCCCTGCTTTCTTCCTCAGGGTCACCACATGAGGCGGGGGCCGCTGGGTTGCTTTCTTGGTGTTTGCAAGGAATGGGTGGGGCTCCTCAGAGAAGTTAAGTGGCTCAGCAGAGGTCACCCAGCCTGCCAGTAGGATTCAAATTCATCCTATTGCATCCCGAGCCTGGGGGCAGGAACTAGCCTCTGCCTGAAGGGCTGAGCAGGTTCTGGGCTGGGGATGTTTGGTGGCTGCTTCTCAGACGGGGAGGGGCCAGCGCGGGGCCTTGCCTCGAGACAGTGGCATCAGAGAGCGTAGGTCTGAGCCAAGTTTACTAATATTTATCCAAGGGCCGCATCCGGGATTCACGCGGAGCCTGAGGAGACCCCCCCACCCCCCACCCCCCGTCCCACCAGGCAGACAAGACATCCGGCTGGGGACACCTGTCATCCCTTCCAGCTAGGTGAGGATGTCAGGCAGCTGGGGCAGAGAGAGGGCACCTCTTCGAAACTCCCAGAGTGAGGTCATTTCCCCAGCGGTGACGAGGCCAGGCCCTCCAGGCTCTGGCCCAACCAACCTGGCGAAAGGAAGATGAGAAAGCTGTGCATCACGGCAGCCCCTGTGCCTGGGGCTCTTCCTGTGAGTGGCAGCGCTCAGGGACAGCCCTGAGGACAGGTCCCCTGCCCCCTGCCTGGAAGAACCCCCCCACCACCACCTCTTGCCTCTTCCAGGAAGCCTTCTGGGATTGCCGGGACACACCCTCGGCCCTGCTCCCAGCAACCACGTGACTGCCAGGCCTTAGAGTTCCATTGCCTGCTTCATGCAAGCCTGGGGAGGGCCGGGGGCGGGGTCGGGGGGGGGGGGCCCCCGCGGCCTGGAGGTG